TGTGGGTTTGGGGGTACTTGGAGTTAAAGGGCCAGACATAAAGGAGTCAGGAGCTTGCCAAAGAAAACCCTTGCTTTCCCTTTTGGCGCCAAGGCCAGTCTGCAGTTATCAGGGAAGGGGACAGCCAGCGTCACTGATTTAAAACTCTTTGCTTGGAGATTCCTGCTGGGGTTACACCCCCCTCAGCCATCAAGCAAGTGGGTTTTCCTCATAGGCTGGGGGCATTATTTGCTGTCAGGTTACATTTCTTCACAAGAGTGACTAGCAGTTGGGTAGACATCGTCACAAATTTCCCAGGCTTGTGAAGATGGTCTGCTTGCACTTACAGAGCATTTAGCAGTTACTTGCTGGGTACCATGCTCGGTACCTCATTTAATCCCCAACACAACCCTGTTAGTAGGTGCTATACTAGTCCCCCTCACTTTATATGTGGAAATGGGTATGGAAAAGTCCAACAGCTTCCTCAAAGTTGTAGTGGAGCTGGGACTGAAAACTCGGGTCCTTTTCTGCAGTTTGCGATTCTAACCACTACACCTGGTCATCAGGCACATCCTCCTTCCTGGCACTGTGGTGAGCTGATTGCTAAAATCCCACAACTCTGGTTATGCCCTAAGGCATATACACTAGTATTTTTGACATTCCCAAAAAATTCCCAAATGAATTTTAACAAGCTTTTATATAAAACTGACTTTTATTGCAATTTAAAAAGAACAAAGACAATTTGATAAGTGCCTTTAATTACAATGTACCTGCTATTTACATGTAATTATACTTTTATACACAGCTTGAATAAGGTTCATTACATGTAAACTATAAGATATTACAAGTTAAACTCCAGCCTCTTGGGAACATTCAGAATAGAAGTACTATGGGCAGAAATACACAGAAAACAAATACCCATTTCAGTTCCTTACGTACCAATACTGGATGAATGATCAAGATTTGGCCACAGAAGAGAATTGTAATTATGTGTTAAATTGAAACTTATTCTTAACATGACTAACAGTATTGCTATTATTTAAACCCAAAACACAATAACTGGATCATTAAAAACAACACAACTTTAATTTATATAGCACCTTTCTTCCAGAGATAAAGCATTTGTATTTATATTATCTTATTTGTCCCCATAACATCCATATGAGGTAGGCAGTGGTTGGTATCATGATCCCCATTTTGTACATGGAGAAACTGAGGCACAGAGTAGTTAAATCATTTGTTCAAGGTCACACAGTAAAGTCAGTGCTGGAACAGGGAGCACAGAGCTGTGAGCTCATCTCTAAATCCAATGCTTCTCTTTAAGTTGTCCTCTCTGAGAATTTAATTCAATACCTCAATTCACTTTTCCAAGAAAAAAAATGTGCATTTTTTTCTCTCATAAAAATTGTTGAAAAACTATACTATAGGCAAGAAACAAGCACTCTGGGTCGGATGATAGGTTGATGCCACACTCTTTTAGTGAAGTCTTTTTGTTGGCTTTTTTTTTTTTTTATGAGAAGTTTCTTTTCCCAGTTACAACAAAGGTAGGTCTTTAAATGAAACATGTTCGAAAGGATGTATCTAGTCACCTATAAATTACAGCTGTAGTGGCCATATTATGCTTTTCATAAACCAGGGTTATTCCTGAGTTTACAAAGAAAATACCTAAAAATAATTTAAATCTTTGAGGTCTTTTTCATTTCTACACACTTACTATTTGCTCCTTAAGCAACTCAGGAGTGGTTGACAGGGAGCTGGGATCATACATTTCCCAGAGACGCACACAAACCGAGTGGGGTGGGAAGTCTTGCCCGTGCCACTTAGTTCAAATTTTAGGTCTAATCCCTGTCCTGCTCACCAACTCTCCCACCCCCCCATCAAATATGTAGTTGGTACTCTGAAAAATTTTTTAAATGTCAAAATCTGAGGCATTAAAGGACTTCTCAAATGCTTGTTGACTTGTACATAAAAGTCAGCTTGTCTGGCATTTTTCACATGCTTCTCCCTAAGAGGCAAGTCCGGCTAACAGTGCTGCCGCATTGCTGGGACTCCAGGAGGCAGTCATGGAGTAGCCCATCGGAATTGTTTCTAGCATGGCTCCAGGAAAAACAAGAAAAGCCTGTATTCAAAAAATAAGTACCCCCCCCCCAAAAAAAGGCAAGCAGGCTTACAGGATAGGTCATGAACATCATCTCAGATTCATTTATGGGCTTTACATTAAAAATACATAAAAATGTGTCGAAGGAATATTCAGAGACAGACTTGGCTTTTGGCTTTAGCCTCTTCACCTAGAGAAGGACAGGGCTGTCTTTCAGCGAAGCCTTTACTACCTAAATGGGATCTACGATTAATTTTTTTTTCTCCTTCAGTTTAAGAAGGGAAAAAGAAAGTTTGTTTTAAACTGATAGTTTCCAACTTGTTGAGTTAACAAACAAAGCCAAACCAGACATTCTGGCAACTCTGTTTGAGTCCTTGCAACAGAACGTTTTAAAGTTGTCTTCCACAGCCCCCTAGTGCCAACCATTCTCATGAAGGAGGTGGGTAAGAATGAACATGGTTTAGCAAAGCCCGTGCCAAATAATACCCAGCATCTGCTTCCCTAGGTGGGCCTGTGTGGCCTTGTCTCAGCAGCCTGTGACACAGGAAAATGTGAGCTGGGCAGAGCTGTTTGCTCACTGGGTGGTGGCGGGGAATGGTTCTGTGATCGCAGGCAGGATCTGTGATCTGAGGGTTGTGTCCACATGGGAAAAGATGTGTGGGAATGTGCCTCGAATAGCAGAGCGTGGTTGGGGTGGGGAAAAGGAGCAGGGGGTGCTGTGCGAAGTTGCAGCAGGAACCAAAGTGAGATGGGGAGAAAGAGTAGCTTCATATCCCCGTGCTGCAGACTTGCTCCTTAAAAGGACCAGAGTAAGGCAGGGGAAAACATTCCAAGATGTTGAAACCAATAAGAGAGATTTTCAGACTTAAAACGAAGGTTTAAAAATTCCGAGTACTGGAAACAATTTTCCCACTCTTGTGAGTTGGACAGTTTGACCATGACAAAGACCTCTGGAGACAATGAGTCCAAATGCTACTGTCATGGATTATTTATTTTTGAGCAAGAGGAGCACTTTGAAGTTGATCAGGACCACCTAAGAGATAACAGGTCACTTTTTTGAGAAACCATTTTTATGAGGAAAAAAATGCATGAACAATGAAATGCAAATTCCTATTTGTTTAGCTATATTTCAAACTTTCCCTGAAAACATGAGGTGCATTAATAATACATGATATTTAAAAGGTAACATTAAAACTGTTGCCAATCTAACACACAAGTCTGAGGAATGACCATTTACCAGCCTTTATAATCCATTACATAAGGTGATCTGAGACAACCAGAGTACATTACATTTTTTAAAAATACCCATAGCATATAAGTGGTGAGCAAAGAAAAATCTAATTTAAATGCATTAAGATAAATGATTACAACTGAATGCTTAAAACTTTGCCTTTTTAATAAAAATTGTAACATTTCTCATTTCATCTGGCATTAAGAGAAATCTGAACTACTGTTTCTTAGTTCAATAAGGAAGAACCTGGAAAAACAATGAATCCTTTATAAATATCAGAGACTGGATGTAAACAGAGTTGAAAATGAACAGTAGGGAAAAAAACACTTAAGAATATTTGTTCTCTTCTGGACCACGGCTTTTTAAATTTACTTTCATAATTTCAGATGAAGACTGATTTAGCATGGTTTTTGGACTGGTCTCTTTAAGTCAAACACTTTCTATGTGTGTTCAACTTGTCCAATGCCACTGTCAAGAATAATGTGCTTAAGAAAAGGTACAACACAGAGCAAGAAAAGACTACCACAGGACCAGGAATATAGATTTCACTGCCAAAAAAAAAAAAAGTCGTATTTGACATTATAGACACATGTTTCTATTTTTCACATCAGTCACTTATTAACACCAAACATTACACTTTAACTTCCCCCAATTACACAGTACAATAAGCCTGTCAGGGTTTCCAGGAAAGAACCATCAGTACCTACTGTGCCTCCAGCAGCCCAGACAAAGCTGGCTGGGGACCAGAAGCCAACACTTTCAGAAGAATGGCATCACTAGATCACACGGACTCATATTAACTAGTACAAGGAGCACTGAAAAAAATGTCATTTACTCATTTACAAAATGCTACTTGAGTCCTGCGCTGCAGTGCTGTGATTATCCACGTCCCCACCTCCAAGCCGTGTTCCGTCCGTCACACTACCTCACCGCTTGCTGGCTCTGCGCTAAACTCTCTCGTGGCTTCCAAAGAGAAGGAAAGACAGTGCAACTGAGTGATAACAGACCTCTGCTTCTGCCACCCGGTGGGGGGTCACCTTGCTGGGGCTCCATCCTGGCTCACGTGGCTCTTGGTGCTTTCTGCCAGATCTCTTCTTGACATGATCTCTGAGAAGGACACCTATTTACATTTCCTCCTGTCATGTTGAATATGTAACGAGCCACACATACGAGAAAACTACTTTAAAATATCACTGTTTTTCAGCTAAGAGAATTATGGATGCAATTTAGAATCTGAATTTATTAGAAAAATGATAATGAGGTAACTTAGGAAAGTTTTCTTGTAATTACTAAATGAAAACTGTTGGATAGCTTTTTATCTATTCTGCTTTTATGACAGTAGTCATCACACTAATAGGGTAGACATTCCAAATACATAATAGGATGTATCCTCACTAATCAGGCACCAGAACAACTTTATATATGTCTGTGTGTATATGTAAATATATATGTATAGTGTACATACACATACACAGTTTGTTACTGGTTAAAGTAAATGCCCTAATTGGAAAAATGAAATCTGAGAAATAGATCTAGTGACATCCTGAGGTTAAATTTTAGTTCTTTATGTGGACTACCTATTGTTAGCACTCAATTAAAATTAACTCTTGGATTCTGAGGGCAGATAAATCAGTAATTAGTCTTTTCCCCACAAAGGACAGCAGTACTTTTCAAAAGCTTTTAATAGACCTAATGATGCAGTTTAGTGCAGGACTGGAAAAAATATGTCTGTGGCCCACATATTAGAAAAAACTGCTTTCTTCTAGAATTTAAGATTTCCTCAAACATTTCACATAAAACAGGTCATACTCTCCTGCTGACTACATTTGAGAAACAGTAAAAGCAGCATAAAAAAATCTAAACTTTCAAAATACCTGACTAAAAGCAAAGATTCTACTTTTAGGCAAGATGAGTTTATAATTCTGACTTATAAAACAAAAAAAATTTCCAAAAGCTTATTTTAATTGTGAGATTTCACATAACCTCAATGATAACAATGCATAATATAGATGTTCAAGTTGAATAGTAAAAAAATTTTTTTATAATTACCTTTCATGCATTTAGCTGAACATGAAACTTTTTTCAAGCCATAGGCTTTTGTCCAACTCAAAGACTAGCACAGATTTTCAATGAATAAAGTAAAAAATGATGAAATTTATGAAATACTGTACGATAAGGTCAAAACCATGATGATGCATCAATAAATATACTTCCATAAGGTACCTAATGGTCTCAAGAGCAGAGCCAGGTCCTCAAGTTTACTCTGCTTCTCTCTCCCCCAACCCTCAGGCATTGTGCTATTACTTTTTCTTTTAGGATTTGTACTGGAGGGCCTTCTAGTTTCTTCTAAAATATACTTATAATACTTTAAATCGTAACTTAGCCCAGATTCTCAAATCAAGAGAGAGGTTTCAGTGCATATTTTATGGCTATATTGCATAGCCTTTATTTCAGAACTTCTGGGGGAAATTCTGATAATGAAATTTCAAGATGATAGAACTATAAAGAACTTTTCTCTCTAGAAATGATTTTACACTTTAGAGATCATATTCACTTCCCTGGCAATAAGTAAAGACATTATGAAAGACAGTAAAACTTTTGAGTGGTCAGGTGCTCATAAAGGACATTATTGCAGCAAGCACAATACTAGGTATGCGATGTGACACGGCCATCAGCAGGAGCTAAAGAAACCCCATGGTGTAGAGATTGGTGGGTCAAACTCATTAATACTAAGTAAGCAAAGAAAATCACCAGGCAAAAACAGTGCGTACGAAAGATACGAATTCAGAGAGCAAGGACCTTGGCACCTTCCTGGTAACCTTTCCCCCAACCCAACGGTATTCTGCCATCTCCTCCTGGTCAGTGATGATTGTGCTTAGGCTCATGAGGTCTTCATGGGAGAGGCCAGGCTGACTGCAAACTACTGACCACCAAGGAGTTTACCCCGGCAAAGCTGACTTCACAATTTCAGAAATGTATTACGGAGCAGTCACAAAATCCGGCCACGAACGCGAGGGATGGGAAAGGCATGCCCGTGAGCTGGTCCCTACCATTTGCAGGGTCCTTCATCCTCCCGGTCGCGTCCTTTGTCAGAAGGAGTGAAAAGTCTGACAAGCCAGAGATGGCACAGCAGTACACAATAATTGCCTTTTTTTTTTTAATCAGTGTAGGCAAGGGTCCCTTGCTATAGTCACACCGCATAATAGCAGGGCCCTTTTCAGATGAAAAGTGAACAAGTTTCCCAGTGTTGGCCTTATAAAATCTAAAGAGATGATTAAATTCAAACCAGGCTGAGCTCTTAATAGGAGTTATTTCAGTCACTGATTTTTGTAAAATGAAGGGAAAAAAGAATCCCAATAGGCAATTTGCATTTGCAAGCACTGGATTGCAGAATCCACCACTAAATTTTCTTAAAAATGTAGCTAAATCTTAATGGAGTTATAATACCTTCATGAGGTTAATAATGCAGTCATCCCTAGTCCTATTTCATTCTTCCATTTTTTTTTTTTTTTACCATTTCAAATATTTCAGTATAGCCCACCACAAGTCACTGAAAATGATCATTTATGTTCATTCCACTTATTTCTCTAGTGAGCCAGATGACTTTGACCACGGCTCCAAGTACCATTTGAAAAGTCTTTAAAAACCTTCAATATTTTAAACACTTGATTAGAAAACAGATAACTACGTGTAATTACCTAGCTTATGTGCTTTATGGTGTTTTTTCAAAATGAGAGTATAAATCATTGTACATAAAATCAAAATAGTTAATATACATTTTTTTCTGGCAGTTTCTAGAAATTAGGCGTTAAACCTAAAACATCTTATAAATTTATATAACAAAAATAAATGTTTACATTTTAATTTTAGATAGATTACCTTAGCGTAGCAGTTCACTTAGGAAATCTCACACTGTTGGTGTGGCAGCAGGGGTCATCAGAAATACACATTCAAGTCCACAGCCCTTCAGAGACGGACGCCATGGCTGCCGTCCAAATATGTGGTCTGTGTCCCAACACAAAGATTAAGGCTGTTTCAGAGGAATGAACTCTAGGCTAAAACAAGTATAGAAGTACCACAATATTCATTGAAAATACTGAAAAGGCTCTGAAGAGTTTCACATACTGGGGGGGAGGGGTGTGGGGAGGGAACCGCTTTGACTAGAAAAATAAAATGAAGCATCTAAAAATGACTTCAAGTACTTTGGGAGAGGCTGCTGATGTGGAGTGCCCAAATCAGGAGGAAGGAAGGTCTAAGAAGCTTGCGGGGGGTGGGGGGGGGGCAGTCCCAGGCCGGCACACCTGCAGGGTCCTTTTTTTCCCAGGTGCAGCTCTTGGAAGAGGACTGGGGAGCTGCCAGTAACCAGCAACCACAGTTTCTTACCATCTTAAAACACCGAAGTTGAAGGCAAAGGCCAAGCCTTGGGGGGGAATTTTCTTGGAATGAACCATTAGAAGCTGGAAGATTTCAAGGGGGAAGAAGGCCATACATTTAAATGTGAGGAGCAGATAGAGAAAGAAAAAAGGAAGAAAGGCAGAAAAACCTGGCTCTTGTGAATGGCAGTATGTCAGGCAGGTGGAGTCGTGGTTCTTGATGAATGCAGTTCTTCCTTGCAGCTTGGCTTTCCTCACTCACAGGGTGAAACCATGGACAGCTGGGATCTTTCCAGAGGGTGAGAGTGCACAAGGGAGATGTGCTTGGGTGTTGCCAGTGCCCCCTGGCAAGCAGGGGCACAGTCGGGTGCAGTCAGGTACGTACCTCACCGTTTCCAACCCCGGGAAACAGTCTCTACATCTTCAATTGTGGTCGGATTACTAGAGCAGCATATAAAGTAGGCGTTGATGTTGCTTCTTGTCTTCCACAGAAGAAATGCCCCCCCCCCCCCCCCCCCCCCCCCCCCCCCCCCCCGCCCCAGCCGGCTGCTCATATGCTGTGTGGGCTTGTCTTCTGGGTTGCTAGAGCCTGGTGATATCTCTGCATTGCTGCAAGTCCCCAATGCTCTCATAGTCATTCTCCTTTGGGAAAAGGCCACGTTGGCCGTGGGTCTCTGGGGTGGCCTTGTCTTCCTCTCTGTTTAGAGTTTGTATTGCTTCGTAATCAGGCTCGGGCTCCTCACTGGGTCTTACTGCTGGTGGAAGTGTGCTGACGCTGTTTGGAGTTTTCTCCAAGTCTTTAACAGTAGCGTAGAGATCATTACAGGAAGAGGGGGATCTCTGAGTGGCTCTTTGGATGGAGGTGTTGCTGGACTCTGGTGCTTTGAGAGACTGTCCTGATTTACTCCCTGACTGTCCAGGTTTATTTACTGATGAATACATGGCTGAGATCTAGAAAACAAAGGGTGAATTAAATAAGCTTCAAGTTTCACTTCTCCCTCCCCCTTTATAGTGACAAGCTAGATATTTAGCTCTGTAGGCAGGTGTGTGTCCCTTTAAGGTTGTGGGGTTTTTTTTTTTTTTTTCCCAAGTCCCCCCCCCCCCCAGCTTTAGTGAGAAATCACTGACATATGACTTAATGTAAGTTAAAGGGGTACATGGTTATTTGACACATATATATACTGTGAAGTGATTACCGCCAAGGTCAGTTAACTCCTTCATTGCCATAATTACCATTTTTTTGTGTGTGTGGTGATAACATTTAAGATCTACCCTACAACTTTCAAGAATGATAGTATACTACTTTTAATTACAGTCACTATGATCTATATTAGAGCCCCAGAACTTATTCAGCTTATAGCTGGGGAGTTTGTACCCTTTGACCAACATGTCCCCATCTCCCCTACTCCCCAAACCCTGGCAACACCATTCTATTTGCTATTTCTGAGTTTGGCTTTTTTAGATTCCACATGTAGGTGAGAACATATAGTATTTGTATTTCTCTGTGTGACTTATTTCACTTAGCATAATGCTCTCAAGGTCTAGCCAAGTCGTCACAAAAGGCAGAATTCCCTTCTTTTTCATGACTGAATAATATTCCTGTGTGTGTGTGTGTGTGTGTGTGTGTGTGTGTGTGTGTGTACACATGTATTTCTATATACAAATGTGTATTTATAGCGTGTGTGCGTCTATGTCTATCTGACATTTTCTTTGTCCATTCATTGGCTGATAAACCCTTAGGTTGTTTCCATGTCTTGGCTATTATGAATAATGCTGCAAAGAACATGAGGGTGAAGATATTGTCTTCAAGACAGTGATTTCATTTCCCTCAGATATAAACACAGAAGTGGATTGTTTCTTGCCTGTACTAATCCTGGAGTATACTTCTAGAGAACAGTTATATATGGTATCTTCAACTTTGCAAGTAGACCAGCCATATTGGCACAACTCCGTGAAAACCAGGTTCTCTCTGGGTCTTCTGAGGGGCGTGAGGAGAGCAGGTGGAACAGGAAGTTCAGGAGGCCCCTGGGACCTGACTACAGTATATCATGTTTTATCTGATTTCTATTATCAGAATGCTATTTCACCTGAAAAAGAGCTCTGCTGCTTTAAGAAACAAGGGCAGAAAATATGTTAGATGAATGGTTTGCAAAATGTGGGCTTCGAACTGGCAGCAGCAGGATCTGGGAATTTATTAGAAAGGTTAAGTCCTCGGGCTCCAACCCAGAAGTATTGAATCAGAAACTCAGGGGCATGGGGCCCAGCATGCCCACTAAAGTATGAGAACCACCGAATTAGACTCTCTGACCCACTCTTTCTGTATCAAAGTGGCCTGAAAAGTAGGTCCTGGATTCTGGTTGGCAATACACATAGATCTGTAAAAGTCTCATTTTCCATTAGTTTTCAACTTCATCGCATATTACTGGTTAAATAGACATTTACAGACAGGGCTAAGTTTTCTTCAGTGGGAAAAATTTATTCTTATTTGCAACCAGCCAACTCAGAAATGAAATTTGGAGACAACTGACTTACAGGGCACTCTTTCCTATGGGAAGAGTGGGCTACTGTCCAGGCACACCTACTCAGTCTTGCTAATATACCCCATATAACCTCTACTATCAAGAGGGATTTAATTCTCGTTGGTAATGATAGATTAAACATACTGATTAAGAGATTTTTTTAAGAGATCTTTTTGAGGGTTATTATTTTATTGTTAGAAATCATGGTTGGAAATAAGCAGAAATATCCTTCATTACCTCTATCTTGGCCATAATGACTGATTGATTCAAAACACCCAGGAAATACATGAACATGCCTCCTGACAGATGCTTGGCTTCCCAAGTGCGGAGAGAGATTCTCTTGCCTTCACATATCTCACATACTGTGGATGAAGTTTCCAGCTGGCCTCAAAAGCTTCTCAAGACAGGCCTGCCGCACACACGCTAACTGGTCATTTGCATGAGAACTTTCCACTGCAGCCTGGGGGCTCTGTTTTGCCAGGCTTTGACAATCCAAACATTTGGAGCTAAAGAAATAATCTTTGGAAACTCTTGCCATGTTGCTCTGACCCTTTTAATACTAGGGTATTAATATTAGGAATTATTAAACTGACATTCTCACCTTAGAGATTTTAGTGGAAAAATTACTCTTGAAATGAAGATTTAGAATTTCTTTGAAATTAGGAAGAATTAAAGTAAATCATCTGCTTTTCCTAGTAAGGTGCAAACATATGGAACTGAATATCTAAAAGGTGGTCCAGATAGATGGTGGTAAATCATAGACGACAGTGAAAAGGGGAGTCAGCATACTAGCTACACACTCTTCACCTTCAGGGGGAACATCAAGGACAAACACACCTTTTCCTACCTTGTAACAATGGGGGTTGGCCCCTTTCAGCTTCTCTCCTCAACTCTCTTCCCCACAATGCCTGCCATTAATGCCCCTACTCTTTATAATTACTTGGGTTTTCTTGGGCTTTATATTCTTTTTAGAAAGTTACAGGCTCTTTTCATTAACTTGCAACTTCATATTATCTCTGGGCAGGAACCTACTGTGCAGATGATGTCGTAAATTTTAACACTTATATAGAAGATTCTCAAGTCTTCCGATGTTCTGTTTGAGTATTTGCCTTCTAGGACTATTACTTCTATTTTGTAGATAGGTTTCTTTCAAGCCCCCTTGCTATTTAGCTTCACAGTTTTTCTCTTTTAAATCTTTCATCTTTATTATTCAGGCTGTAAATTGTTACTATATTCTCATAAATTACTCTCTACCTTTTCCCCATTTCTCTTTCTATAAGCAACCCTTTTCCCCATCATTTTGCTAAATTGGGATAATAGTACTGAAAACTCAGATCTCAGTTTCCAGTCTGGACTAACATTCTATTACATAAATACAGAAATAAGTGACTTCCATAATTATTTTTTCTAAAACATCTTCCTAAAATGACTATATGTGAATCACAGTTCTTTTAATCTATGTTAAAAATTCATCAGTATACCTAAGTCCTATTTTCTGAAACAACAAACAATGTAAGATTAGAAGAAAAGGAATTTAAAATTTTACTTGTCTCAACATATTTTAAAGGACTGGTTTCCAGATCTCTCATATATTCTACTCTCTTGTCCCAGGTGGGAGGGCTGTGGTGCAGTGTGGACGACAGACGTCTGGGAGAAGGCAAAGGAGTGGCCACAGGCCTGGCAGGAGGGCACACTGCCTTAGTCTGGGGAGGGGCGTGCACTGCGCCCACGAAGAGAGTGAGAGAAACCAGGGGAGCTGCGGACAGTGAGGAAATGGGGTGTTTAGGATGATGTCCAGGGTTCTGGCTTGTGCGACCAGGTGGCTAGATGGCAAGTCCTTTCCTCGGGGCAGGAAACACAGAAGCAAGTGGGCAACATTACCTACAGAAAGCTCTTCTGCTCTTTGAACTTCCAATGTGGGATTGTAGTCTATTTCCTATTTTAATACTCCATGCAAAGTGCAATAGGAGGGGACGTACCTTCATATGTATGTCATTTTTGTACATGTACCAAATTTATCATGCTAGGAATTCCAGACAGAAGCTATATGCAGCTAGATAAATGAAGGTGTTCAGCTCTCTGAGCCTAGCTTGATATTACATGTGTGTGTATATACATATATATGTGTGTATATACTGGATTGTATAAGTTTAACGCGTCACTGAGAAATCTAACCGGTGGGGGCGGAGCAAGATGGCGGAGGAGTAGGAGCCCTGGATTTCGTCTGGTCTCAGGAATTCAGCTGAATAGGGATCAAACCATTCTGAACACCTACGAATTCAACAGGAGATCGAAGAGAAGAATAGCAACAACTCTCTGAACAGAAATGCGACCACTTTCTGGAAGGTAGGACGTGCGGAGAAGTGAATCTGTGACGATATTCGGGAGGATAGACAGCGGGGGAGGGGGCCTCCGTTGGTCGCTTCTGGTAAGTGATAGAGCCGCGGAGCACAAAATCGGAACTTTTAGAAGTCGGCTCCGCTGAGGGACGTCGCTCCAGTGGCTAAGCGGGGGGTGGAACCCTCGTGGGACATTGTGGTCTCAGGACCCTCAGGGTCACAGAAAGACCAGGGGTGCCTGAGTGCGGCAGAGCTCCCAGGTATCGGAGCGGGGAAGCCGGCTGCTGAGACGGAGCCGAGGCGCGGGCTCTCAGCTCGGGGTTGCCATAAACTGTGATCTGCGGCCCAGTCGGGCCACTGCTCCTGCAGCAGGGACCCAACAAGCGGCAGATCTGGGGAGACTCCCCTTCCTCCCCCAGGAGGAGTGGTGTGGGAGTGCACCGCAGGGATCTGTTGGGTTTGGAGACTCCACACGGGGCCGGGTGCCAGAGATAGAAACGCTCGGTCACAGGCCAGGTGAGCACGCAGTGCGGCCAGAGACCAGAGAGACGGGAGTGACTGCTTTTCTCTGGGGTCGCACTGAAGAGCAGGGCCCCGAGTTCTCAGCTCCTCCAGGTGGAGATTGGGAGGCCACCATTTTCATTCCTCCAAAGCTGTACCGAGAGCTTGCAGGGAACAAAAGGTCCTGAGAGCAAACCCGAGCAGCTTGCTTAGCCCGGACCGACAAGGGCGGGGCAATTCCGCCTCTGGCAAAGACATTTGATTTGGGAACCACGGCAACAGGCCCCAGAAGATCAGCACGAAGAGCCTGCAAGCCAAGACCCAAGTTTACCGATCAAGGAGAATGGGAGAATTCCAGCGCTAGGGGAATACTGCACATAGAATTCATGGCTTTTTTTTACCATGAGTCATTAGTTTTTCAAAGTTAATTTTTTTAACTTTTTTTTTAAATTTTTCTTTTTCCCTTTTTCAACCAACATCTTATCAATCCCTTTTTTAAAAAAAACTTTTCATTTTTCATTTTTAGAGTCATTTTACCCCTTCATGGTAGTTACCCTTATTTTTGGCATATATATATAAGTTGTCCTCTCTT